AAAAAAAAAAAAAAAAAAAAAAAAAAAAAAAAAAAAAAAAAAAAAAAAGGGGGGGGGGGGGAGCTTGCCTTTTCTCTTTCCCTTGTCTGGAGATGTAAAACAAATTAATGACAAAGTAAAAATTTTGGAGAGAAAGACAGAAGTCATAGACAAGTTGGAAAGAGAACTAGATAATCTGTCTCTGTGGGATTGAGAGATTTGTTGCTAGAATTTATTCATGAGGATCAATGTGGGTTTTTACCTGAAAGACAGTTAAGGACAATGTTAGAAATGTGTGGGACATTTTAGACTGTTTGGAGCAACATAATGAAAAACAATCCACACTGATTTTCTTAGATGCAGAGAAGGCCTTTGACAATTTTAACTGGACTTTCTCGTTCAAGGTTTTGGAAGAATTTTGGACAGAACTTTATAAAATGGGTAAGATCAATTTACACTTCACAGAAAGAACAAATAATTGTTAATGGAGATCTAACTAAACCCTGTAAGATACAAAAAGGAACAACAGGTATGCCCACTGTCTCCTCTCTTATTTTGGCTCCTGAAATACTGAATAGAGATATAAGATAAGTGAGAGGATTGTGGGAGTAAAGATTAAAAAATAAACTTATATGTTAAGGGTTTTTACAGATGACTTGTTGGTTCTGGAAGGGAACCAACTCCTTTAAAGGAAATTGAAATATTAATGGGCAAATTAAAAGAATTTGGTGCATTATCAGATTTCAAGATTAATAAACAGAAGATGAAGATGTTAACAAAAAACATGAAAATCCAAGATCAAACAGAAATGATGAATAAAATGGGTTTTAAGATAGAGAAGATAAAGTATCTGGGTATCACTATGACAAATATGTACTGTATGTTTTTTCAGAATAACAATGTTAAGACATGGAATGAAAAAAAATACACGTTAAGATGGGAGAAACTACAACTGTCATTGCTGGGGAGAATTTCTGTGATAAAAATGAATGTTTTGCCTCCAGTTATGTTTTTGTTTCAGACAATACCTGTTTTGACAACTGATGCACCATTTAAACAGTGGCAGGATATATTTAAATTTGTGTGGCAGGAGAAAAAAACCACAAGTTAGATATAAGGTGTTACAAGATGCAAAGGAAGGAGGAGGATTGGGTTTACCTGATTTGAAATTGTATTTTACAGCTTGCTGTTTGGTTTGGTTGAAAGAGTGGGTGTTGCTGAGAAATAGAAGACTCTTGGAGTTAGAAGAACATGACCTGAGATTTGCATAGGATAGATATTTGTGGTATGATAGTCAAGGTTAATGTGGATTTTAAAAAGTCATTATATTAGACATGTTGAGAATATGGAATAGATACAAACCCAGGTTGTACCTGAAAACACCTTTGTGGCTCTCAGTACGAGATGTATTTTGTAGATGAGAAATAATAGGCAAACTGAAATGGCTAACATTGTGAGATATTAGAATTTTGTCAAGGGGAATATAAAATAAAATCAAGAGAAGAACTGGTGGCACAGGGAGATAGTAGCCAATGGTTCTCTTATTTATACCTGTTAGAAAGATTCAAAGTAAACAAAATAATTTATGCTTTTGAACACTGTAAGACTGAGTATGAAATAGAATTGTGTACAATTGATGAACATGTAATTGTTAAAATGTATAAACTTTTATTGAAATTTCTGGTGATAATATACAGTTGGAAAAATGGGAAAATATGTGGCTGAAAGGATTGAAATTTACACTATGTTATTATCTTAAAAGAGAATTTTTATAAAACGATGTACCTACCGTTGGTACATGTCACCAGAGAAATTGTCTAGAATGTATAAAGACACCTCAAATTTATGTTAGAAATGTGAACAAGAGACATTTTATCATGTTTGGTGGGTGTGTAAAAAAGCTAGCAAATGCATACACTGCTTCAGAGGATTTTAAAGATTAATGTACAATTGAGACCAGAGGTTTTTCTTTTGGGAATGATGGACAAACAGTTGGAAAAAAATCATGGAATTTTATATATGATAACTGCAGTGAGATTATTGTATACACAAAGATGGCAAGATGTGGCACTACTCATAATGGAGGAATGGTTGGTGAAGATGATAGAACTTGCTGAGATGGCCAAATTGACTTCTTTGATCAAAGACAATATCTACGTTTATTGCTGACTGAAAACCCCTTATGGATTTTTTGCATAAAACAGAAAAAAATGAACTTATGATTCATGGTTTTGATGATTAGACAGGATTATGGAAAGAAGAGAGTTATGTTATAACCATACAGTAAGAGGTAAATTTTTTATTGTACTTATAGCTGCTATAAAGATTGGAAACTACTTCCTTGTATCCTTTTTCTTTCTTTTCTATTTTACTTTTTTTCCCTTTCTTGCACTTTAGCTTTCTCTTTGATTTCTTTCTCTTCTATTAGTTTGTATTAGTTCTTATCTTCCTTTAAAAAAAAAAATCGTTTATATAAATTATATTAAAATATCTAGGTTGTGTCTTTTCAACAACCTCTTCTCATCCCTACCACTTTCACCTCCACAGTTCCAAATAACATAATTAGTTTTTTTATTTATTTACTAAAGCAATTTATATGCAGTTTGTCAAATATTCTCATGGATTTCCACCCAGGCCTTTGGAGACCCCTCGCTTCATCATGCTTACCATCTTTTATCTTTTATTGTAATTTCTGTAATTGTCGTGAGCCGCCCAGCGTTGTGGAGAGCTGGGCAGCATACACAGTTATTATTATTGGTGTTATTATTATCCGTTAAGATGAAGAGTGCACATTACAAAACAAAAAGAAACACCTGCTTACCTTTTCTCCTGCAGAACTGCTTTTCCCTTTTCCTCGAGTCATCTTCAGCAGTTCTGGGTAAAAGAATTCTGGGCAGCGCTTATGATCTGGTTCAAAAAGGGAGAGGGCAATGCGTACCGCTGCAGCTGCAGGTTCAGATTCTTGAGGATGCTCTGGATTTGTGACATCCTCCCATCGAGGCTTTTTCAGTAAAGTGGTACTCAGTGGGCCTGATAAAGAGGTGAGTTGGACCCGGTGGGGTTCCGTCATGGCTATACGCTTGTGGTAGCTACTCTCAAGGCATGGTTTCCATCACTTTAGGCCAAAGGCTGCACAGGTGTATGTATGGGAGCATTCACTGTTAGCACACTCTCAAAGATGATTACGGAATTCTGAAGTCAATGCTGATCTTAGATTCCAACTTAAAAAGTAACCTAAAAGTCTCTGTTTTTATCATAAATGAAGAATCATCCCATAGCAACACCTTTTGGGGTTAACTTGCAGCCCTTAAAGTTATGGTCACTACACAGTCCAACTCTGTTTCAAGCAGAAAGTGAAGGAAAAAAGACAGAAACAATTTTCTGAATGGAGCAACTTTTATAGAATTTCCTACAATATGACTTTGGCTACAAAAGTCAGCCTGGGTTATCTTACTGTGCATTAGAGTATTTCCCACACTATGGGCTGACATAATGCAAAGAACACTGAACACATGAGCTCCAGTTTTCAGCCAAACCAAAATTCAGGCCTGTTGTTCTTCAGATGCAAATTAATCCAGTCCAATGGCAGGTGGGCAGTGCTCCTGAGAACTTCCTTCCACACAGGTTTCTTTCTACTTCCACTAGCGGGGGAAAAAGAAATAGAAAGTTTCAGCACAAAACCCAGCAATGCACACGCTTGGGTTGCATGGGCAATGGATCCATCTCTATTCATGTATCAACGCATTTCAGCTTGAATGAGGCTATACTGAAACAGAAATTGCACAATGGAAGAGGACTGAGGAAACGCAGTAAAATAATTCACCACACAATGATACTAACCCTAGCACTTTGCAAAATTAATCGTTGTACAGGTGAAACCTCTTTTTGTATAGCAATAGATGTGATAGCATGGATGGATGCATAAAAACAACCACCTTCATTCATTAGTACATACACAAAAAACGATGGTAGAGGGGAGAGATGGGCAACCAGCCCATTTTATCTTTAGCTCTGGAATCTGGGATGTGTGTCTACCTACCAGTGATGTACTGGTAAATGTTTAAGAACTGGCTCCGTTGCTGCCACTGCATCACCCATCAAGGAACAGCTGATTGGCACGCTAGGCAGCGTAGCTCAGCTCTGCTCTCAACCGGCTTGCAAAATTCCAGAAGATTTAACAGCTGGTTATAGCCACCACTGCTATCTACCCACTACTGAGATGGGATACCAGAATGCTAACCACAATGGAGGAGCACCTTGGGCTGAAAAAGGTTCATGTGACCCAGCAGTGGTCAGCAGTGACCAACTAATCAGTACATCAGCATAACTGGCCAGATTCACATGCTGCATGAAGGCACAATGTAGCTTGTTGTATTTTAGCTGAGTGTGCCATTACATCATGATTTATACCTTAACAGAATGGATAAACCTGGCCTTTACAGCTTACTTAACAACCTTTATCTCAGAGCAGAAGAGGGGAACTTTCTGAGGAGTTGGGGGTACAATTCTGGTGACTAAATGCAGGGCTGCAGACAATATCACAGGAAAGAGAGTAACATCACAGGTGGGAGCAATGCCATCCTTTTTTGTCTTTTTCAGTTTTTTTTTTAAATAAAAACAAGAAGCCTCTGATAAACAACTATTATCATCATCATCATATTCAATTGATATCCCTTTTCCCGAAGAACTCAAGATGATGTACATAGGACTCCTTCCCCCATTTTTTCCCCAAAACAAGAACCTTGTAAAGAAGGCTGGACGTATGACTAACCCAAAGTCCCCTATAGAACTTCCATGGATGAAGACAATTAAAACCTGTCCCCACCTATGACCACAACTTGTGCGTATAAAATTAGGTGCCAAACCAGTCAAATTTGGTGCTCACCTTTGGGTTGGTTTGTAAGCACTGGGGGTGGTTCAAGAATAAAAATGGATCTACTATGCCTCCCAGAGACCTCCCACTTTCTTTTCCACCCATGTTTAGAAGGAACCCAAAATCACACCCTGAAAACCAGTAAATTTGCCAGTGAATGTTGGTAATTTTGAGATGCCAAAAGTGAGGTAAGAAGGGTGACCTTACCCACAGGAAACAACACCATGAGCAGAAAACAAAATGCTGAGTTGGTCTCTGACAGATGCTTAAAGAAAAAAAATTAAGTTTAGCACCTGAAGAGTGCCTTGTGCCAGTATAAATATGGATGGAACATCTAAATTTTGCTAAAGAGATAACTGTCAGAGTCAACATACTTCCAACCCTGTAACTTTAGAGAGAAAGGCTAAAATATAATTGTACTTATAACTGCTGTGAAGAATATCAAAGCCACTTCTTTATACTTTTATATCTTTCTTTATATCTTTCCATTTTTTCTACTTTTACTTGTTTTCTTATTGCACTTTTAGCTTTTTGTTATTTCTCTTTGTTTGTTTCTGTCTTATTTTAGCATTAGTTCTTGTTGTTAAAACTTCTAATAAAAATTATATTAAAAAACTTCCAATCCTTTGACAAGTCAGATTAATTGTGATGGCTCAGCTGAGAAATTATGTACAAATAAAACATTTGCACATGGAGACATTTCCTCTGAGCAACAACACTGTGTCTTCTTTTTTCAAGACCCATCAAAGAAGATGCATATACACAAACAAGCCAGGGAAAATACACTGATTCCAATCACATCCTTGGGGGCACTTGCTTCAAAACAGTAACTCTCTAAGGACAAACCTTAAGCCTTGTTAAAAAGCCAGTGTAATATAACAAAACATCACACAGCTCAGCTATGTTTACTGAATGATTTCAGGCTTATTCTTTGACGCCTGCCAGTGGAATCTCCAGGGTGGACCTAAGGAATACTCCTTTCTGAAACTCTGGACAGCCACTGAGAGACAGTGTGGTACGTGTGAAATGGCTCCTCAGAAGATTACTGAATTTTAGCAATAGCCTATTATATACTAGAATGATTTCCTTACATCCGACCCCTGATATATTCATTATATCTCTGACACATACACTTAAAATACTTGTCATCTCAAATTCTTCTTTTTCCTCTCAAAATCTCCTTGGCCATTGTCCATATAACTAATCACGGCTCTTTCCTAGACCTCCTTTACCTTAGCCCTCTACATTGAAGCCATTAGTAAATCACCTGACAACAGCCTTCCCTCATTTGGTACCCTTCAAGTGTTTTGGATTCAGTGCTGGCTGG